AAGCAGTGCTACAAACATTCATCTCTATGGTATACTCTTACTGTGAGTAAATTAACATGAATCTAATTGGAAAGCATCATCAATAGTGCAAACAAGCTCAGCCCCAGACATTCTTCTAAAAGGTAACTAACATGAACGTGAGCAACACATTAATCTCAAAGATACATTCTGAGAGGTAGGAGGAATTAGGATCAATCTGAATAGGAGTCTGGATAAGAACTCTTCCTGTTAGGGTAAAAGACCTCCACTCAGAAAATTATAAGATACTGAAGAAAGAAACTGAGGAAGACACAAATATGTAGAAACATATACCATGTTCATGGATAGGCAGAATTAAATCATTAAAATGCCCATGCTACCCAAAGCAATCTATAGATTCAACACAATTCCTATTAAAATGCCAATGGCATATCTCACATAACTAGAATATTCCAAAAATTTATATGGAACCAAATAAGACCCCGAATAGCCATAGCAATTTTGAGAAAAAAAGAACAAAGTTGGAGTTATCATGCTGCCTGATATAAACTATACTACAAGGCCATAGTAATCAAAACAGCATGGTACTGGCATAAAAAGAGATCAATGGAACAGAATAGAGAGCCCAGAAATAAACATGCCTTTATGGTGAACTAATATTTGACAAAGGAGGCAAGAACATAAAATGCAGTAAAGCAAGTCTATTCAATAAACAGTGTTGGGAAAACTAGAGAGACACATGCAGGAAAAAAAAACCTAAATGACCTCCTTACACATACACAAGAATAAACTAAAAATGGGTTAAAGACTCAAATGTAAGTCATGAAACCATAAAAATCCTAGAAGAAAACATAGGCAGTAAAGTTTCAGACATTTCTTTTAAAAAAAAAGAAGTCCTCACCCGAGGATATGTTTTTAATGATTTTGAGAAAGCAAGCAAGAAACATCGATGTGAGACAGAAACACCCATCAGTTGCCTCCCCTATCTATGCACCCTGACTGGGGATCAAACCCACAGCTTTTTGGTGTAAGGGGCGACACTCTAACCAAGCAAGCCACCTGGCCAGGGCATTGAACATTTCTTGCAGCAATACTTTTTCATGTATCTCCTTGGGCAAGAGAGCCAAAAGAAAAAATAAACAAATGGGACTACATCAAACTAAAAGAGTTTTGCACAGCAAAGAAAACCATCAATAAAATGAAAAGACAACAATGAATGAGAACATATTTGCCAATGATACATCTGATAAGGTGCTGATATCTGAAATTTATAAAGAACTTATACAACTCAACACACACAAAAACAAAATCCAATTAAAAAATGAGCAAAGGACCTGAATAGACTTCTCCAAAGAGAACATACAGCCTGACCAGCGTGGCTCAGCAGTTGAGCATCAACCTAGGATCCAGGAGACTGCAGTTTGATTCCCAGTCAGGGCACATGCCCGGGTTGTGGGCTCAATCCCCAGTGGGGGGCGTGCAGGAAGGAGCTGTTCATGATTCTCTCATTTTCTCTCTCTCTCTCTCTCTCCCTTCCTCTCTCTGAAATCAATAAAGGTTTTGTGTGTTTTTTAAAAAAAAGACAACATACAGATGACCAAGAGACCTATGAAAGGATGCTCAATGTCACTAATGAGAAATGCAAATTAAAACCACAGTATCACCTCACGCCTGTCAGAATGGCTATCATTAATAAATCAACAAACAAATGTTGGTGAGGATGTGGAGAAAAGGGAACCCTTGTGCACTGTTTGGAATGCAGATTGGTGCAGTCAGTGTGGAAAACATGGAAGGTCCTCAAAAAATTAAAAATGGAAATACCTTATGATCCAGCAATTCCACTTCTGGAAATATATCTGAAGAAACCCAAAACACTAATTCAAAAGAATATATGTTCATTGCAATATTAATGGATGGCCTGGGAAATTTTTATGCTAAGTGAAATAAGCCAGTCAGAAAGACAAATATCATATGATTTCACTTATGTGTGGAATCTAATGAAACAAACTAAACTAACAATATAGAAACAGACTCATAGATACAGAGTATGGACTGACAGCTGTCAGAGGTGGGCGGGGGGTAGAAGGGCTGGATGAAAAAAGTGAAGTAAAAAACAAAACAAAAACAAATACAGACAAGTGTGATTTCCAGAAGGAAAGGGGGTTGGGAGGAGGTAGAAGAGTAAAGCAAGGATAAATGATGACAGGAGACTTAGACTTTGGATGGTGAACAAACGATGCAATATACAGATACTATATTATAGAGTTGTACATTTGAGACCTGTTTAATTTTTTTTAACCAGTGTCACTCCAATAAATTTTTTAAAAACCTTTGAAATGATAATTATAGTAATGCTTGTATTAGTCAAGAATTCTAAAAGCTCAAAAACCCCCTGTACTGTTTAATGTACTTGCATAATATTCATGAGAGTAGCTAAATTACAAATTTCCATAACAAGGATAATGCAAAAAAAAAATCAACATTGGTAGTGTCTAAGCCTTTTATCATTAAATTTTTAAATGTTAAATATAAATAGCAAAAAGAAAGGAAAAAAAAAAAAGAACTCTTCCTGTCTTCCTGTTAGTACAAACTCAGTCCTGGACTCCTCATAGCTTGAAGTAAACTGAGATGAAGGTAAGCACAGCAGTACTGTATTTCACATTCATACTGTGAGACAGTGAGTTTGGATTAAACTAAGCAGTACTATTGAAGTGAATCTGTATTAGTACAACAAATTCATTCCCAGACATTCTTCTCGAAAGTAACTTATCGTTAGAGCAAACTGACATGAACACATTCATCTTAAATTCAAATGAACCTAAGAAGTATTATTGAGAAGAATCCTTACTGCTTGGTGAAGCAGATGGACTCGTTTCTCTCAAAAGCATGTTTATGGTGAATCTAAATAGGAATATGGAAAAAGATACTATATTAGTGCCGACTTTAGTCTCAGCCATTGCTTCTCACTATAGATAAACCAAATTTAGATGAACATAGTGTGTAAGTGTACAGTTTAGGTATACACGATAAAATCAAGGTCAGCCAGACACTAGGCTGATGGGATATTAGACTCACTAGTCCCAGGTTGGAGAGTAAGGTTGTCAAAATAGAGTTCAGTGTTAACTTCAAAGTCAGGATTATGATTAGGGTCCATTTTAATGTCATTTCAAGGGAACCATGTTTATAGGATGACCATCAGTACCAAGATTAAAGTTAGGGTGAGCTATTACTGGGATCAGGGCCACTTACAAGGTTACATTCAAGCTTATTTCAAGATAAAGCAGGTTAATGTTAGGGTGACCATCAGTTTTAGGATGATGGTCAAGATCAGAAGCCAAGTTCCATTTCCATGCCACGTTCAAGGTTAGGACCAGAGGAACAGATCAGAGGAATAGTGGCCTGGTTTGTAGAGATGAGCATCACACAGGGTCCATAAACTATGGCCCAGTCACTGGGCCCCAAGTTGGAGAGGACTCTGCTTCTCTAGAAGCCAAACAGAACACCAATTAGGCCCAGTTCAGGGAGTGGGACCAGAGAAGATGTAAGCCATGCACCCCTAGCCATGGTGGAATTGTAGTCATGAGCTTCTAAGAATGCTATTTTTAATGCATGAAGTATGAGCCAAGAGCAGGTACAAGGAAAGAAATCAACTGAGGAACCTGAGAAGTGGAAGTATAGCAAAGTAGAATCCAAGAGCTATGTCAACAAGCCACTTCTGCAAAACCTACACCCATCCACTGACTGAAATGCTACTATTTTCTAAACTGGTTCTAGGCATCTATTCAGTTGCAGCTGGTGGCTTATATATGTTGGAATACAGGGTGCCTGCTGCCAGATCTTCCTTTCCTACGAAAAATCAGAAATCCAGAACTATGTAACATCTAAGTACCAGCAACTACACCAATTAAAAAGACAAAACACAACACATAGACTAAGTTACACTCACAGGCTGTGCATGGTCCATAGGTCACCAGTAGTTTGAGGTTGCTCCTCTAAAGGGACAGTATGTTCTCCATTTACGGTCCCCACCCCTACCCCCAATACTATGATTCAAAAGAAAAAACAAAAACAAACTAGGGACAGGTACTGCAGGACCAGGTATTAGAAGGCCTTTCTGCCTCAAAGCACCACGTGCCCAGTTATGGAGGGCTCCTTTGCTTAATAAAGCACTGGTTATGACTAGCTAACATGGTGTCTACTAAGCCAACGGTCTGGAAGAAGGAAAAAAGACAGGGCAAAGGCAGATGATCTTTGCTCTTGTTACATTTTATTGGCATCACGTTCATCTCTTTACAGAAGAACTCGGCCCACACCCTAGAATGCAGACCTTTGAGAAAAAAGGAAGTGCTTCGTTAAGCAAGCTACAATGCAGGGGCAGATCCTAGGGAGGGCGCAAAACTGCCACGGTTCCATACCAAAGAAACAGGTTAGGTAATAATGGGCAATACTGGGGAGTTGGTGGGTAAAAGGAGAAAAAGGTTTGCTAGCCTAAGGATACCACAACCCTGAAAGGAGTGCCTTCTAGAACAAAGGTAAAATCACTAGGACAGATCTGTTAGGATTTTCCTTTTCCTCTTATAAGTTGCTGATCTAATGGGAAGTTTCAAAGTGTGGAGCGGGG